TTTCATGTGTCTGTTAGCCATTTGTATGGTCTTCTTCAGAGAAGTGTCTTTTCATATCTTCTGCCCATTTCTGGTTCTTTGAGAGAATAAGATCGATAAACCACTGGCCAGACTTATCCAAAAGAAAAGAGAAAGGACCCAAATTAATGAAATTATGAATGAAAGGGGAGAGATCACAACTAACACCAAGGTAACAGAAACAATTATTAGAAATTATTATCAACAACTATATGCCAATAAACTGAGCAATCTGGATGAAATGGAAGCCTTCCTGGAAACCTATAAGCTGCCAAGACTGAAACAGGAAGAAACTGACAACCTGAATAGGCCAATAACCAGTAACGAGATTGAAGCAGTGATCAAAAACTTCCCAAAAAACAAGAGTCCAGGTCCTGATGGATTCCCTGGGGAATTCTACCAAACTTTCAAAAAAGAAATAATACCTAGTCTACTGAAGCTGTTTCAAAAAATAGAAACAGAAGGAAAACTTCTAAACTCATTCTATGAGGCTAGCATTACCTTAATCCCCAAACCAGGCAAAGACCTCATCAAAAAGAATTTCAGACTGATATTCCTGATGAATATGGATTCCAAAATCCTCAACAAAATCCTAGCTAATAGGATCCAACAATACATTAAAAGGATCATCCACCACGACCAAGTGGGATTTACCCCCGGGATGCAAGGGTGGTTCAACGTTTGCAAATCAATCAATGTGATAGAACACATTAATAAGAGGAGGGAGAAGAACCATATGGTCCTCTCAAATGATGCAGCATTTGACAAAAAGCATTTGACAAAATACAGCATCCTTTCCTGATTAAAACTCTTCAGAGTATAGGGATGGAGGGAACATTCCTCAAGTTCATAAAATCCATCTATGAAAAACCCACAGCGAATATCATCCTCAATGGGGAAAAGCTGAGAGCCTTTCCCTTAAGATCAGGAACACGTCAAGGATGCCCACTCTCACCACTATTGTTCAACACAGTACTAGAAGTCCTAGCAACAGCAATCAGACAACAAAAAGAAATAAAAGGTTTTCAAATTGGCAAAGAAGAAGTCAAACTCTCTCTTTTCGCAGATATAGGGTACTTTATGTGGAAAACCCAAAACACTCCACCCCCAAATTACTAGAACTCATACAGCAATTCAGTAATGTGGTAGGATACAAAATCAATGCACAGAAATCGGTTTCTTTCTTATACACTAACAATGCAACTGTAGAAAGAGAAATTAGAGAAATGATTCCATTTACAATAGCACCAAAAACCATAAGATACCTCAGAATAAACCTAACCAAAGAGGTAAAGGATCTACACTCTAGGAACTACAGAACACTTATGAAAGAAATTGAAGAAGACACAAAAAGATGGAAAAATATTTCATGCTCATGGATCAGAAGAATAAACATTGTTAAAATGTCTATGCTACCCAGAGCAATCTATACCTTCAGTGCCATCCCAATAAAAATTCCAATGACATTTTTCAAACTGCTGGAACAAATAGTCCTAAAATTTATATGGAATCAGAAAAGACCCTGAATTGCCAAGGAAATGTTGAAAAAGAAAAACAAAGCTGGGAGCATCACGTTGCCCCATTTCAACCTATATTACAAAGCTGTGATCACCAAGACAGCATCGTACTGGCACAAAAACAGACATATAGACCAATGGAAGAGAATAGAGAACCCAGATATGGACCTTCAACTCTATGGTCAAATAATCTTTGACAAAGCAGGAAAAAACATGCAATGGAAAAGAGACAGTCTCTTCAATAAATGGTGCTGGGAAAATTGGACAGCCACATGCAGAAGAATGAAACTCGACCATTCTCTAATATCGTACACAAAGATAAACTCAAAATGGATGAAAGACCTCGATGTGAGACAGGAATCCATCAAAATCCTAGAGGAGAACATAGGCAGTAACCTCTTTGACATCAGCCACAGCAACTTCTTTCAAGATACATCTCCAAAAGCTAGTGAAACAAAAGCAAAAATGAACTTTTGGGACTTCATCAAGATAAAAAGCTTCTGCACAGCAAAGGAAACAGTCAACAAAACAAAGAGGCAACCCACAGAATGGGAGAAGATATTTGCAAATGACACTACAGATAAAGGGCTGGTATCCAAGATCTATAAAGAACTTCTCAAACTCAACCCCCAAAAAACAAATAAGTCAAAGAATGGGCTTCCAGTGCATCTTTAAGAAAAACCTATATATGCTTTGAAAAGTGTTAGTATGGATAAAGTCAGCTAAGAGGAAGTATCCTCCCCTTTCATTGGGATAGCTTAATTATATCTGTTTTATTGGTAGAGAGTGTCTCCTATTTGGAGGGGAAAAAAAAACCTTAATTTTCTGATTAAGCATATTTGAGAAATACTTCTACATTTATATTTAATGCAGCTCAAAGAGAATTTTATGCCTGTACTCCCAGTGACAGCTTCTATTCTGCAGGATTTGTACCAGAGATGATAATAGGCTTAATTTGTACTGTATTTTAAAAATCGATCAAAGCATTTTTATATCTGTTCTTTCATTTGATCCTTTCTACAGCCCTGTAAGATGGGTTAAGTGTGTGTCCTAATCCCGTTTGACAAAGAAGGATATTGAGGCACTGAGGGGTTAGGTGATTTTTTAGAGGACATATTCTGAGTAATGGAACTAGAAGTCATGTACTGTGCTTCCCAGGTTCTGTGCTCAGATCATAAAGACCACTTTTGAACACAAACACAGTTATATACTCCAACATCTAGGTGCAAAGCAAAATCAAACAAGGAACTCTAAAATACTAATGCTAGAACCTCATACTTGGAGACTTTAATTCAGAGCAGATGGGAGGACTGGTAGATCTATTAACATAACATATATGTGACTTGGAGTCTAGTTAACCAGCACAATTGGATATTCACTCATTCATTCATCTAATATTGTTCTCTGTGAATTTTACTTTCCTGTACTTTGCCTGTTTTCTTAATAGGTGTTGGACTTCTTCAAATTTATTAGTCTTTTCTCTACTATGTAGTTATTGTTAATGTACTCAAATGTATTTTGTTTCTTATGTCTCCATAGAACCTTCTCCAGTGAGAATTTTTTTCCAAATCCCCAAATCAAAGAATAAAAAACATTTCATTTTTTAAAATAAAACCATATCTTAGGAGAGAATTTGTAAATGGGTAAGAAACATAGAAGATGCTCAATATGACTCTCATATAAATACAGATGAAAGAAACAAGATTCTATTTTTTACCCTAAAACTTATAAAAGGTAGAAAAATTCGATAAGTGTCATGCGTGAGAATGAGGGGAACAGGTACATTTACATAATGTTGGAAAGAGTTGTTGGTATGATATCTTTGGTGAGATCACTATTTTTCAAAAGTAAAAATGTGTGTTCTCTCTCATCTAGCAATACTGTATTGCTCAGATATACATCTGTGCAATGTGGATGTTTAGGAATCTATATTGCAGCATAGTTGATAATAGGAATAAAAGGAAGACCTCTAAATATCTGTTTATAGGCAACTAGTTACATAAATTATGGTACATGCATTAAAGGAATTATGATGCATTCATGGCAAATAATACTTCTTTGCACTTATATGGAATGATCTCCAAGGGATATTAGGGGTGTTAAATCTTAATTAAGGTTAAAAGTAAAAATTGTATACACTATGCCCATTTGAGTATAAAAAGTATGTAAAGGTGGAATGTAGATGTCTTTGCTTATGTGTACATAAACTATTTCTGTAAGGGTAAAGAATCTATTAACTGTCATGCATTTGGAAAAAAAACTGGTGTTGAGATAATAAAATTAATTTTATATACTTCTGTACCTCTTGAATATTTTGCAATGTGTATATTTTTCAATAGACAATAGACAATTAAAAATAAAGAATTTTAATGCTTAAGATAGTAATTGACAAATACAGTGAGCTGTAAATTGTAAAATAAATTTTCTCCAGTTTAGTTTGCACTTTTATGGTTTTGATCATTTACACTGATGTAGTATATCCATTTATATTTTCTTAAATATCACATATATTTCTACAGTGATTCTACCATTTCTATTTGAAAAATGTAATTATTAGTCGGAGAAACCTCACTGAGCAATTTCAATCCATACGGCTCTAGTCAGTCCACATCAGCTAGTCCACATCTTGCTTGTATCTGACCAGCGCTTGTGATTTTAACAATGGATTCAACAGAGTAACAGTGAATGAAAACTTCCGACTAAAAGGAATGTTTCAGATTGCAACTCAGACCAAATACTGAATTTTGAGTTGCCAGGAAATTGTAGGTCAGTTGGGCTGCAACATGAGAAGCTGGTACAGCGGTGTGTCCCAGGTTGGGACATCGGTACCTTCGGAAGGTGATCCTGTCCTCCTCTGCAAAGAGAAGAGAGGATTTAAGAGTGAACAGAACGTGGAAAGTACCCCATAACTCCGCCGTCAATTTCCCTCTGTTTATGCCCCTTGGGGAACCAAATCTAAGAAAGCTCAAGCACCTAACTGGGTCTGGGATTATCTATGCTAATAACTTCCTCTGTTCACAGGGATAATCAAGGTTAAACTCGTGTTTCTTTTCATCTTTTTGAGAAGAAAATTAGTTCCTCTAGGTTTTAAAGTTTAGAGTATACAAATTTAGATTTCCTTTCCTAAAACTAGACCATTAGGTAGAAAGCTATTAAAAGGATATATATAATCCCTAAGAGTTCATTAGTTAACCTGCTATTTAACATATCTCCCTCAGGATCTCTCAAATCAAATTTTCTATGATTAAAGATCAATACTCAGAACACTTTAAAGCATTCAGATTTCATAATGGTACAGTTAGACCTCCTTCTGCTTTCCTATATGCAAAGCCCAGAAATAAACTTTGATGAAATTTCTACCCAAACTACCTTGTCTCATAATTTATCTACTTTTGACCTCTTATTTTATTGACATGTTGGCTTCACTGTTTTAAATTACATAACAATTTTGCTCTTTTCCTGCAGGCAGAGTTCACAGCCATGCGGGAGCAGTACATGCGAGGTGGGGAGGGATTCATCATCTGCTACTCTGTCACTGACCGCCAGTCATTCCAGGAAGCTGCCAAGTTTAAAGAGCTCATTTTTCAAGTCCGCCACACCTATGAAATTCCCCTGGTGCTGGTGGGTAACAAAATTGACCTAGACCGGTTCCGCCAGGTGAGTGCCAAATTTGGTTTGTTTGTTCTTAACTCCCAGGGTACATAGTACTTGGTCAAGTCTGGCTGCTCTCCAAGGTTCATACTGAGACTTATGAGAAAGAAATGATGCATGTGATTTTCCTGAGAAATCTTTGAAGTCCTGGTAGATTGTGTGAGATGCCACTATATATCCCATCCCACATGCTATTCTGCAGTGTCCTCACCACTCCAACAGGAGACATAATCCGTTTCTCCCATCTCCTTGGATCTGGGCTATGATTGGTTGTGGGCAGTAGAGGTTAGTAGAGGTGAGGCTGTATACTTTCAGAGTTTGAGCCGTTAGAGTTCTGCAGCTTCTGCATTTGCCACTTAAAATGCTTGTTATTGGGATCCAGCTACCATGTAAAGACCAAACTAACCATTAGAGTTCCAGAATCAGAACAAGCCTCACTTGTCAGGTTAAGAAATGCCTTCCATATACCATCAACCTGCTTCAAGCTGCCTCTGCTATATCATTGTGATCCTCAGTTCATTTCTCTAGACAAAACTGATAATGCAGAAACCATCGCTAGTTTCTAATAATGCAGAAACCATGGATTGTGATCCACTACCAGATTTCATGTAGTTCATTATAGTTTATTCTTCTCTGATCAGACACTATCAGGGCCTGATGGGCAAGCTGTGATGGCTTCATCTCCACAGGGTAATAATACTTGTCTTCCTTGTACTCCTTAGTACTCTTAAAGAGATTAAATAAACAAAACCTAGATCAGGGACCAGGCAAATCATCCCAGTTCTGTTGCCATGACTTACTTTGTACAAAATTAAATTACTAAGAAATTGCATGCAAATCAAATTTTTATAAATCAAATTCTCTAAATTGAATGGTATAATTCTAATTTTAGATGCTTTATCCTTATTTGCATTGACCTTAAATTTGAGCTGGATTTTAATAGTTTGTATGTTTCCAGTTCATGATTTTTAGACTTAAAATAGCCTGCTAATAAATCCTTTTGCTAAGGTTAAGAATCTTCACTAAAACAGTTCTTTCCTATTTTAAGCGCTTTATATATTTGGATTTTTGTATCTAATGCATCTTAAGTTTTCTTAAAGTGAGAATATCATATAGAGTCAATGCTTATAAATCTATGCTTAATACAGAAATATTTCTATGACTTAGTGTGGTACATTTTTGTAGTGGCATTTTTTTCTATATTTTACTTGAAAATCTAAGGATCTTAAAGTGGCAATTGAATATTTTTTAGAAGCTGTAATACTTGTCTCCTCTGCACCTGTTCTCCTGCCTTCTTCCATTGTTGTTTCTCTTTCTCCAAAGCAATGTTTAGTATGATATGGTTACATGGCTATGAGATAGGAATTCAAGTTTATCTCACCAGCTAAATATGAATCTATTCTGTGATACTTGACAAAAATGAAGAAGGGAAGTATAGGTCTAGTGGTGAACCTTTCAGATACTCCTCCACTTTTTTTTTTTTTTAAGGACTTCCAGGAAGTGACATGAGGGAGCACCCTGAGATGGAAGTATACCATCAGTGATTACATGACGACCTTTACTGCACTTCTCAGAATTCCTAGAGAACATAAACCTTATGCCTGAATGCCAGTCAAGAGCTACAAGTGGCTCTTGTAAGCTAGTGGATTTGAGAACATTAGGGAAACTTCTTCAGGCAGAAGTTAATCAGATTGTCTCTAGAATGATGGCTCTCCATGATTCCAACACTGGCTGGCATTTGCTTTCCCCTCACCATCCTGGCTCTGCTTCTGCTTCCCTAGGCTCATAAGGGGTTCAACGGAACCTCTGTCTTAGCCTGGGTAATTGAAGATTAGCAGTGATGAGACTCAGAAACATCACATACATCGCCGAAACAAATAAGAAAAATGACAGTAAGCTGAGTAATTTAGCAGATTTCACAGACTTTTCCTTTCAAATAAAAGCAAGTAAACAAGATAGTCACAGAAAGTGCAAAACCCATGAAAACTCAAATTACAATTTGTTTTAAAATTGCTCATGTACCAACGTCTCCAATAATGAAGTGTTGATATGCAAATTTGGCTTCTGGCTGTGGTGTTTGTGATGGGAATAATTGTTCCTATAATTGTAGAGTGGTTGTTCCTTTTCAAAATGCTTTCAATTCATACTTTATTTTAATCCTATAGCTGCCCCGTGTAGTTGTAAGGCAAGCAGTTGATGGATGAGGATATTTGAGAAGTAAATATACTGATAGAAATTGATTTTAATAAAATAATGCTGTTAGTGTCAAATTTAAGACTAAAACCCTGATCACATGTACTCTTTTTCTTATGTTAGTCTTCAAAGGTTAGGTCTCCACTTTAGGGTTCACTTTTTTTTCCATGTAAAACAAAAAGATGCTGACACCTGCATCATCTCTAGCTCAAAGGAGTTTTGAAGAGTCCTAGAGTAGTAATGTTAAACTCTGGAAGCTTCTGAAGGAAATCATGCTGGTGCTTATGTTCAGTGCTAAGAGGCAGAGAAAGTAGGGTTTTTACTTGGTGGCTCTTCTTCCTCCTCATAAAAAGTGACTGAAAGGAAAGTGCTGATGATGACAGATGTTTATTGTCATGCTTGTTTGGTGGAGGGGGTGGCTGCCTTCTGAATCCATCTTGGTGAATCCTGAGTCCCTCTATACCAAAAAAAGGAAACGAGTTTTAGTGCCTGACGTCCTTCATCATTAATGACATCTTTAAGCAAAAATATTGAAGGGTTCTGTTTAGGGTTGAGTATTTTCTCTGAGAACAATATTCATTTTGATACTGATGATGCATTTAGTATTGCAAGGCTCTGTAGCAGGCACTTAGCACACATAATTTTACTTCATCTTCACCACAAGGCCACGAAATAGGCTCCTTTATGATCCTATTTACCTATGAGTCATCTGAAGCTTTAAAGATTCAGTGACTTGCTCAAGGTCACATAGCTAGTTAGGGCTATGAGAACATGTCCAGCGTTTCTGATTTGAAATCTCACTTTTGGCCTCCAAACCATTGTTTTTCTTGATTTTTTTAAATATAAGCTTCAGGATCTTAGCATGCTCCTCAGAGGATAGAACATAAGCAATTGGATTGTGTTGGAGCAGAAAGGAGCAAAATGCTAACTCTTTGGAGGTGGAGTGAGGAGCTCCAGGTGCTGGACAAGCCGGTAATAGCCAGAACTTGGGAAGAATGTGAAGAAAAGTAAGGACAAGGAAATGATGCTCAAAACTACTGAAAGGCACTGTTTTATGATCAGTAGCACAATTTTATCCAGAGTCCATCCAGACTATTATAAAGCCCTTTTTTAGATTCCCAGACTACATTATGTCCCTGAGCTTGCATGGTCTTTGTCCCTACTATGACTTCAGCTATCACACTGGGGAGTGGAAGGCAATAATTTCTCCTTTTTTGTTTTTGCAAAACCCTGACCAACTGTGCAAGGTAAAAATGGTGTTATGAATGGAGTGAGTTCCAAGGATCTGGGAGCTGGTTTAGGAAAGTTTTACATCAGTCGCAGACCGCAAACTGTTTTATCCTGAAGATAGACCATGACAACCCTTTCAGGGCTGACAATCTAATTGCAGTTTAATACTCATTTTGAAGCCTTGAAACTCTGCTTTCCACAGCCTTACTAACTCTGTGAATGCAGATCTGGGATCATGAAATACTCCTTGTTTCTTCTTCAGTGATCTATCTAATGAAAATGGTTCAATTCCTTTACTGAGAGGGGGCCTATAAAAGCTGCAGAGATCAGAAATTGCTGTGTTAAGAAAAATAACATCTATTTAGAGTCTGCCAAGCCTCTGCTTATCTTTGCAGAGCAGTGGCAGCTTTGCAGCACAGTAGAGGAATGAGCAACCCAATCTCTGTTCTCTGCATGTGATGTAGAACATTATATTAAACAACAGACCTAAATATTGAACAGTATGACACCACGCATAAGTGCAATTATTGCTGAAAACCAGGAAAGTCAATGTGGGCAGCATTTTTGAGGAAGGAAGATGCAGAATGGAGAAGCATCCTGACCAGGTAGGAAGGAGCAGGTAAATGATGACAATTCCTTTGGGAAGGGCCAACAAGAGTAGCTAGAGGAGGAAATGAACGGTGGGGCTGTGAGTACGCCCAAGCCACGGAGTGTTGAGGAGGAGGAGTTGGGAAGACCAGCCTGCCCGGGACATACATATCAAGTAGCCTCAGAATAATTTCATAGATAAGGCCTGCCTTGAAGACATAATTTGTCAAACACAAAGCATAAATATGTACCAGAGTCTCTTGGATATGCTGCAATTACAAATACCACTCAAATTTTAAAAAGTGAAAAACAAAAGAGTAGTAATTCATCGTTTATCAATACATTAGATAATCCATATCAACACATTTTCCCAATGACGAGGGTTTATATTTTTTATAGGAAAAGAGTTGTGGTAATTTATGCAATATTATAGGGATACACATTTAAATTTAACAATTTTATAGCCCTGTTTGTCCTTTTCCATAACATTTTCTTTATCTGCGATTTCATTTCATTAAAAATGCCAATGTATTAACTCCAATTAAGATGGAAAAAAAGCAAAACAAAGCTTAGAGTTTGATGTAATTTATCTAGATTGAATAGGTTTTGAAACTAGAATTTGAAACCAAATCAGTTTTCTGATCCTTACATAACTTTTTTTTTTTTTTGCTAACACCATTTTTTCATACAATTTATTTACCAAATATTTAGTAATGGGTAGCAAGCACTTTTTAAAAATCTGGTTGTTCGGGAGTGAACATGATGGATAAAAATTTTAGAAGAATCTGAAATTAGAGTAGGGGAGATAAATAATGATCAGTTTGAGTGTGAATGTATCAACTGCACACTGCAAAAATGGTGTCCTGAGTAAAACTATAAGCACGTAGAATACATCTGTATATATACACACATACATAGGAAGAGAAATAACTTCAAATACTTGAGCAGAGTTGTGGCATGAATGAGTTTTCATTATCCATCTAGTTATTGGAGGGGGGCAAGAATGGAAGC